GTGGATCACCCCCTGGACAGGCGGGGATGGAACTCATGCGGAGGTGGCTTTCATTCTTAGTGCTGTGCTTTAACCCACTGCGCCACCAGGGAGGAACCCTCTTTGCTCATTCATTTAGCAAACATTTGGTGAGGAACTGCTCTAGCCAAGCTTTTTGGGTTCCTAGCAGCTAAGGATACATAATCAACGGGATGCATTTTCTATTTTCTAAGGAACCCCATATAGTACTGAAAACAAACATTGCTGAGCAATAGAAAGGAGGAAAATACTGATTAATAGTGGGGAGACAAAGAACAAAGTGATTACTTTGGCTTATGTGTGTCAGAAGAAACCATAGAACAAAGAGTTTTTCAGGGCAGAGAAGTGATTCTGTGGTAAACAGAGCGGCATCTGAACCATTGCCGCAGAGGGAACAGCACATCCAAAGACTTAAGCACAAATAAGCCTCTTCCTCGGTCCTCCTTCCCCCTTTTACTTCTCTAACCCACCACCTTGGGCAGCCTCAGTTCTGCATTCAAATTTCAAGGGTTTGCTTTTCTCTGTTACTTTGAAATAATTTAGTGTCTATATTTCTCCTTTTAATCTGTTTAGCATAATCTCCTCATTTGTCCAAACATGTTGGAGCTTTTTCAAAAAATTAAGTTGGATTGGCCCTCCCTGGTGGCAGCGGGTTAAAGCACTGCACTAAGAAGCTTAAGCCACTTTCGCGTGAGTTCCATACCCGCCTGCCCAGGAGGAGATCCACATGGTGTGGCAGACCTCTCCTGGCCCGCCCGCTGCTCCTCTTCATCGATCTGCCTGTTCTGCTCCCCACTCTGTCCCTGGTGAATCCTCTAACCCTCCACATCTCTGGCTTGTACCCCAGTTCTGTATGAATAAATAAATAAATCTTTAAAAAAAAATTAAGTTGGGTTAGAGAGTGTGGTCCCTCTACTGCTCCCTGTGTGCCAGGTGGTGATTTGGTCAACAATCATTTTGCAATTTAGAAGACTCTCCTCTCCACGCAGATTATCTTGGCGTATATGTCAAGCGTAGGCCTCTCTCTCTATGTGGTTGACTCTCTGGACATGTCACTGGCACTTCAGATTGTGCTTTACAGATCTCATTCGTCTTTCCCTTAACTCATTCTCCTTTCTCCTTGCTTCTCTATATAGGTTAATGACACCATAACTTCTCAATCACACAAAACTCCAGACCTTACATTCACTGTTCACCCTTTTGCTAAACTGTCAGACCTTGTAAACTCAACTTCTTGAACAAGGTTAAAAGGTATAGTAGAGAGTAGAGGGTATGGTAAAAGCAGAATTCCCATTTCCATTACTTAATGACTGAAAACTGTTAAGTTACTTAATCTCTATGAAGCCCAGTTACCACATTTGTCAGATAGGAAGAATAATTGAACCTGTATCACAAGCTTTTCATGAAATTATACACTCAAGTCCTTAGAGCACTGGCCTGATGCATGTTAATGCCCTGTTTACTAATTTTACCAATTTTATCCAGAACTGTTCAGTTTATAACACAGCCTCCATTTCATTCTCCTCATGAATAGATAATCCTCACAGAATTCTTTAACCGCCTGTTATTCCTGTCTCTACCTGTTGTCTCTGTCATAATAGATAGAGCATCCTAAAACCCAGCTTCGGTCACCCATTGTCTTTCTCCATCGCCATCTGCCCCCAGCAGCCACCAATTCTCAACAAAGTGGCTAAAATGGATCTACAACTGGTCTCTTGCTGTTTTTTAATCCACTTGCTGCATCAGAACTCATCACGTCCCCATTTAAAACACTTCTGTTGATTCCCAGTGCTCTCAAAGTAAGGTGATCACAGTTTTGTTCCTCAAAGTGTGTGTCCCTGGAGCTTGTGAGGAAAACAAAATCTTTGTCTGCATTCCAGACCAATCGAGTCTGGACCTGCATTTTAGCAAGATCCTCACTAACGTCTGAAATGCCCTGTTCTTCAAACCCTGCATCAGATCTGGCCCACTGAGTTCTGCTACCTCCACGGGCGGTTCTCTCCCCTTGCTCCTTTTGCTTGAGTGTGCCCTGGCCTCACTGCCTGGGTGCAGTCCCACCAATGTCTCCTCCCCACTGGGGAGCTACCAGACACTGTGGATCTGGTACCTGTGTTCCCCACCTGCTGAGATGTGCACCCTTTGCTTTTGTCTGGCTAATTTCCTCAGCTCAAATGCCATTTTCTCAGAGACACCTTTCCATCCCTTTGAGATTGGGTCAGATTCCCTTATCATTCAGTTGTATAGCACCTTGTGCTTTTCTTTCAGAACACCTAACTCAATTGGTAATTAGGCATTTATTTGTGGGAATATTTAATGAATGTGTACCTCTGCTCCTAGGCCACAACTCGTGAAGACAGAAACCAGACCCTAGTACAGTGCCTGGTTTGTTCTAAGTATTTAATAAAACATACCCCTGGCCATCTTTGCTCATTCAGTCAACAAGTATTTTCTGCATGCCTACAACATGCCAAGCACTGTGCTAGATGCCAGGTATACATACCCCTGGCCATCTTTGCTCCTTCAGTCAACAAGTATTTTCTGTGTGCCTACAACATGCCAAGACTGTGCTAGATGCCAGGTATACATTGAAGAGGAAAACAAGATCATTGCAAGGCACTGACAGCCTAGCAGAGGAAAGCAACCAGAATACTGCATAATAATATTCAGAATAAACAGAATACTACAGCAAAGGAAATACCATGAAGCAAAGGCAGATAGAGTAATGTACATTTACAAGGGCTGGTCAGAGACATTTTCCAACTGTTGCTTTTTAATATGAAAACATAAAATCCAGTGTATAGTTTTCTTTTTTCAAACAACTTTATTAAGATAAAATGTATTCATTTAAACTGCCAGTCAATGGCGTCTAGTATATGCACAGAGTTGTAAAATCATCACCCAAATGTTTAGAATGCTTCCATTACCCTTTTCTCCTGGCCCCCTTAGCTATCATTCCCATCTCCCCAGTCCCTCATCACCATTAATCTACATTCTCTTTGTAGATTTGCCTCCTCTGGGCATTTCATGTATATGGGCTTATTTGTGACTGATTTCTTTCATTCAGTATGAAGTTTTTAGGGTTAATTGACATTATAAGATTTATCATACCTCATTTATTTTTATTGCTAAATAGTATTTCATTACATCATGTATTTTTCTTAGTCCAGTCAGAAATAAGACGCTGCCCCACTGTATCTCCACAACCAAATGTAATTTGTTGTTTTCTAGAAAAAGGTGACAGTAAGTAAATATTGGCTGAGCCTTCCAAGAGCACATCCGTGTTTAAAAACTTTTCATGAGTGACTTTATTCACGCAGCTTTCTTAGTCTGTTTAGTATTCTGACTCAGGAACGGAAGTGATTCTATTTTGGCATTCTTTCTCTTTCTCTTGCACTTAGCTCTTTGGTCTCTACTGACTTGCTATGTTAACTTATGCAAGTTACTAAAACTCTGTTTATTTAACTCCTGCATACTCTGTAAAAGAAGCCTAGTTCAGGCCCTCCCTGGTGGTGCAGCGGGTTAAAGCACAGCACTGAGACGCTTGGGCCACTTCCGCGTGAGTTCGATCCCCGTCTGCCCCAGAGGAGATCCACATGGCGAGGCAGACCTCTCCTGACCCGCCTGCTGCTCCCCTCAGCAGTGTACTTTGTCCATCTGCCTGTTCTGCTCCCCACTCTGTGAATCCTCTCACCCTCCGCATCTCTGTCTTGTACCCCATTTCTGTATGAATAAATAATCTTAAAAGAAAAAGAAGAAGAAGAAGCCTAGTTCATCCTGCTTGTTTGCCAAGGCTGTTTGGAGACAATTTTTCATATGATATGCCTCATCAGCTCCCTCAGAAGGCAAAAGGAATTTGATGTGTGGGGGTAGTCTGGGATCCAGTCCAAAATTAGTGCTCATCTGGAAGAAATATGGAAGCCTGACCCTCCCTTGCTAGCTTTTTAGTCGGATTCACTTATTGCCTTGTCTCTAAGAAACATTGTGTATCTTTATCCTTTTGTGATTTTTCTATGTAAGGTGAGGTAAGTTTTTAAAAGATTGTGGTGGGAAAAGCGCTCTGACACCCTCTATTGGTCAACTGTGAACCAGAGAGTAAATCCGGAAGGATTACCCATAATCTTCAGAATACTCTCCCTTGCTCTGAGACAGGCCTCTCCACACCCCATCTTGGGATGTAAAACCCAATTATATTAAAATAATGTCTCAGGTAATTATGCAATGCTCTGTGCTAGTGTTGAGGAATGATGCAAAAAGACAGAACACAAATCCCTGGTTTCAAAGAAACTCAGAATCTAATGAAAAGATAAGCGGTACATAGGGCTAAGTGGGCTAAGAGGAATAAAAATATAAATGATCAGGGAGCAGAAACAAGAAAGAAATTACGTTTGGTGGGGCCACAAATGTGGTTCCACGAAAAGGGTTTACTTTGAAGTGTTGTGTCTCAGAGGACAGAAGTTTTAAAGGTGGGATAGTAAGTAAATGGTCTCAACGGACTTCCCGAGGGTGGGGAACGTGCACAGTAACAGTTTTAGGAGTGTGAAGAACAGCTGTGAAAAACAAAAGTGAAGTAGAAACCTTGAATAACAGACTCGAAAATCTTTTCTTGATCACTTAATCAAAAGGAAGTCATTGAGTGTTGGGAGGGGACCGTTAGCCTGGCGCGAGGGTGAAGAATGGATTGGCAAGCGGAGAGCCTTGAGCTGGGAGATCTAATGCGAGGGTGTCCAGACAAGGCAGAGAGAGCGTAAAGGAGCTAACTACGAAAACAGGATCTGAGCTCTAGGTGTGGCGGAGACTAGCGGTAGACGCTCCTGGGCAGAGCTCCCTCCCGCGGCACGGACTGGGAGGAGTCGGAGTCATGGACACGCCCCCAAATGACGCCAGGAGGCCGGCCGCGGTCTTCCATTGGCTACTCTCGCCGCCGTTCCCGGGAGGAGGCGGGGCCCGGCCCCGGCCCGCTTAGGGCTGGGTGTGAGGCGCGAGCGGGCTGAGAGCCCCCGGAACCCCACGCCAGAAGCAACTGATATTTGGGGTTCTGCCTTCTGGGGATCGCAGCAGAGGTAGGCAGATGGGAAGGGCCAGGACTCGAGAGAGGACCCCGATACCTCTACTGCCCGGTGATCCCCGCCCCCTCCAGTACGCGGCGGCCGGGGGGTGGGGGTGGGGGGTAGCTCGCAGAGCCCAGAATGGGGGTGGCGTACCAATCCCGCGTGAGGGACCTGGGCTTGAACGCGGCTGATGTGAGACTTGATCCCCGAGGTTTTCGCAGACGTCCCGAGATTTGACGTCGCCTCCGCGATTGCTCCCAGGTCTGGGGTCTCGTCTGGGCCGACAGCAACTTGTCCTCGGTCTCCCAGATATTTTGTTGGAAAACGCGGGGTCGTCGTGCTTGGCGCGGCCAGGGCCGTAAGGGGGGCGCCCTGGGCAGCGCGCGTCCCCGCGCGGAGTGGCCCGCGAAGTTAGGGATGCTGCAGCGCGGCCTCGGCTTCTTGGGATCGCTACTGTGGTCTCAGGGGCGAAACTTCGCAAAACTTGAAAGAGCTATTTTCTCCATCTCGAGTTGCTGGAATGTCAAAGTGCCCTTAGGTGACCTACCATGAAACAGCGTGGTCCCTGAAGTTCTTTAGTTTTTTTTCCTTTTCTTTCTTACTTTTAAGACAGAACATGTGAGCCATAGATTTTGACGTGCGAAACGCTTTGGAAAAACAAGTTGAACTGAACTCTGTAAAGCTCTGATGCTGTGCTACCTGCAGGTCACTGCTTTCTTTGTGAAAGTGCCAGTCGGGCGACGGCCACTGAGCGGTGTGTGTCCCCGAGGGGCCCTGGAGCTCGGCTGTTCTGGGCAGTACCACCGGGCTAACTGTGCCCAAGTGGTACAGGATGGTGGTGGAAAGGTTTCTTAAACAGGAATGCCAATGTGGTCAAGAAAGACATCTTTTCTATTTAAAGGGGAAAAACGTTACCTGGTCAAATTAAGCTGTCTCCTAAGAGAAGGGAATTACAGATTGAGAGGCTGCCCTGAGCTTCATAAGGGTAAAGCCTAAATAGGTTAATTTTTTCTTTCCCTTTTGGGAGTTGGAAGAGAAACAGGAAGTCAGACATTCAGAGAAAAGAGCATTCACTCCACAATTGTAAACAGTTTATTTTATGTTGGTAAATATTTCCAAAAGTCACTGGGGGTATTTGAAAAACTGAGACTTTTTCTTCCTGCTACGGTGACGATAGATAATTTTCAAAATCCACAAATGGTATTTATTTAGTAGATGGTTCGAGGCCCTAAAGCTATGTGGTTACATTCTGTAAAATCAGTTGGAATGGAAAAGGACGATGAATATTCAAAATTAGATCTTTACTCAAGGTGGTGCATTCACACAACAGTTACTTTATATTAACTGAAATTACAGAATGAAATGAGGAAATCAGGTGTCTAGACCTCAGGGAAGACCATTAGTTAGCCTACCTGTAGTCTGAAATTTTTTAAAATGATGATGTTATTATCATGCTTAGTGAAATAAGCCAGAAGGAAAAGGGAAAATATTGGATGGTTTCACTCATAGCAGGAGTATAATGGACCAGGCGAGAAAATAATAATAATGAACAGCTATATACCATAGACATTTTATGGGAGTGAAGTGGGGAATGGGATCAAAAACAGTGGAAGAAGGAAATGCACTGGACTATGGTGATGGCGCAGGTGATTTGGTGATGGGAAGCCCATCACCAACTGAGATGAAAGAATGCACAAAATGATGTAAATATAAACTATTATATTATTTTTTAAAAATAAATAATGATCTTATTAATAGGGAATGCAGACGTTAAATATCCATTTAATGATATTAAGGTTTTGCTACTTCACTGTAAAATATATAATTAGCATAACTAAAGAAATGAATGTGTATGTTTAACTGTAGAATTTATTGTATAGTTTTCATAGTAAGGTTCTCTTGGTACATATGTTTCCTTGTCGTATTTGAGGTTAACCATTATTTGTGTTAATGGTGGAATTCTTGGCAGGGATAACCACAAACAATGGATTATTAAGTTTGTAAATGTTGACCTAATATATACCCACTTATATTGTTAACTTTTTCTTTACTCATTTACAAAGATATGCTGTTTTAAATTGAGGTATAATTCACAAACCATAAAATCTACTCTTCTATAGTGTACAGTTTAGTGGTTTTCAGTGTATTCACAGGTTTGTGAACCATTAGCACTATCTGATTCTAAATATTTTCATCACTCCAGAAAGAACCCTAAGTCCACTGGCAGTTGATTGCTATTGCCAAGAGGCCTTGGCAACCACTAACCCATTTTCTGTCTTTTTGGATTTACCCCAGTCATGGAAATGCAATCATAAAATAGATGGTCTTCTATGTCTGACTTCTTTCACTAAGCATTTAAGATAATGTTTTCAAGACTCATACTTTTATGTAACATGTTTTGGTACATGTCTTTTTTTGTGACTGAATAGTATTTCATTGTATGGATATACCACTTTGTTAATCCATGTATCTGACTCTGAGTTGTTTTCACTTTTTGGTTGAACATTTGTACAAGGTTTGGTGTGGACTTGTGTATTCAGTTTTCTTGCATATACTTAGCATATACTTAGCATGGGAGTTTCTGGGTCATATGTTAACTTTTTGTTAAAAGTTTTGAGGGACGTTACACTATTTTCCAAAGCATTTTATCAATTTTTAAAAAGATTTACTTATTGGGCTCTCCCTGGTGGTGCAGCGGGTGAAAGCACTGCGCTCTGAAGCTCTCTGAAGCCACTTCAGCATGAGTTCGATCCCCCTGCCAGGGAGCTGACCCATATGGTGTGGCAGACCTCTCCTGACCCACTCACTGCTCCCCTCAGAATGTACTTCCTCGGTAGGCCTGTTCTGCTCCGCACTCTGTCTCTGGTGAATCCTTTCACTGCCACTGCATCTCTGGCCTGTACCCCAGTTCTGTATGCATAAATAAATAAAAAATCTTTTTTTATTTATGCACAGAAGAACCGGGGTACAGGCCAGAGTGGGGTAGCAGAAATGAGAGGATTCAACAGAGACAGAGTGGGGAGCAGAACAAGCAGATCAACAGAAACACACTGCTGAGGGGAGCAGAGGGTGAAACAGGAGAGGTCTGCTGTGCAATGTGGGTCATCTACCTGGCCAAGCATTGAACTCACGCTGCTGTGGCTTGGGATAGTGCTGCTCTTTAAACGTATGCACCACCAGGGAGATCCAGCCATTTACCAGTTTTGTATTTCTCTACCTCCTCACCAATTTGTTTTATTATATTTGTCTTCTTTATTATGACCATCCTATTTGGTATGCTGTATATATCATTGTAATTTTGATTTGCATTTCCTTTACAGGCAATAACGTTGAGCATCTTCTTGTGTTCTTATTGTCAATTTATGTATCTTCTATATAGAAGTGTATATTTAAATCCTTTAGGCATCTAAAGGATGCCTATTGTTAAATAGTTAAGAACCCTTTGACATTCCGAATACAAATCCCTTATTAGATAAATGCTTTTTTACATGTTTTTAATTTTGATTAAGTCCAGTTAATTTTTTTCTTTGGTTACTTATACTTTAAATACCTGAGAAATCTTGCCCACTTCAAGGTCATATAGATATATGCTTGTTTTTTTCTAAGAGTCTTCGAGCCTTGGCTCTTAAGGTCTTTGGTGCATTTTGAGTTAATATTTATATATGGTGTGAGGTTGTGACCACATTCATTCTTTTGTATGCCATTGTCTAGTACCATTCATTAAAAAGATTGTTCTTTGCCCCATTGATTGATCTTGGCACTGGTTTCAAAAATCAATTGACGGTAAACTTACGGGGTTTTATTTCTGGATTTATAATTTTATTCCATTGATGTGTCTATCTTTATGGCAGTACCACAGAGTCTTATTTACTGTAGCATTGTAGTAATTTCTGAAATTGGGACATGAGAGTCCTATAATTTTTCCAGATTGTTTTGTCTATTCTGGGTTCCTTGAATTTCCATATGAATTTTAGAATCAACATGTCACTTTCTGGAAAAATGCAGTTGATTGATCGGAATTGTTAAATGTGTAAAACTCATTTAACATAATGACATTTTCATAATATTAAGTCATCTAATTCATGAAAGCAGGTATGTCTTCCATAGATTTTTCTCTCTAATTTCTTTCAATTATGTTTTATAGTTTTCAGAGTACAAGTATTACATGTACTTCTTTTGTTAAATGTGTGCCTAAATATTTAATCATTTTGATGCTTTTGTAAATGGAATACATTCTTGACTTTACATTTGGGTTTCCCTTGGTAGTGGATAGAAAGAAATTGATTTTTTATATTGACTCAGTTTACCTGAAACCTTGCTGAATCAAATAATTCTAAAAGTTGGGTTTTTTTCCCCCTTTTTGGTGGATTCCTTAAAAGTTTTTATAAACACGATCATGACTTCTGAAAATAAAGGTATTTTTACTTCTTACTTTATAATTTGGTTTCTCTTTCTTTTCTTTTTTCTTTTTTTTTTTTTTCTCTTTCTTTTCTTATTCTGGCTAGAACCTCCAGTACAACATTGAATAGCAGAGGGGAAAACAAACATCCTTCTCTTTTTCTGATCTTAGAAGGATCAGTCATTTATCATTACAGGATGTTAGCTTTGGGCTTTCTGTAGGTGCTCTTTGCCAGATTCCCCTTTATTGGTAACTTGTTAAATGTTTGTTGTTGTTTTTTTTAATCATGAAAAGATGTTGGATTTTGTTAAGTTGTTTTTTCTGTATCTGTTGGAGTGATGCTTTGGTTTGCCTTTTATTCTGTCCTTATGGTGTATTACACTGATTTGATTCATTGAAAAATATACACTTGATGTTATTTTTAGAACTTAGAAATTTTATAATAGAATATCCACAAGTTCTTTTAAATGTAGAGCAAAAATGACCCAACATGAAATAGACTCTTTAGGTTTTTTAAGATGCAAGACTACCCTTACCTTTCTGTGCAGCAATATGAATGGTTCCAGACCTCAGGATGTCTATTTCAGGACTGCTTCTTCTTTTCCATTACTTTATTTGCATTTTCTTTCCTTGTCCACTCATAAGCTAATGAGAGAAATAAAACAGCAGTAGAATCAGGAAAAGAGTTGTGACTGACTGTATTATCTACTCTTAAATCACTGATGACAGATATTACAATGAATTACTGATTGTATTATTAAATACAAATATGGGTCATAAAAAAGTTCATTAACAAAGTGAATGCCCTTAGGATAAAAAACTCAGAAAACTTCTATAAAAACAAAGAATTGAAAAAAGAAAAAAAAAAGAATGATTTGTTTCCTTTAAGAGGTGTCTAGAAGCATCTGAAAACGTGATGTAGTGGGTGTTCTCAAAGTTGTAGTCTTTGCAGAATAACTCAGTTTGTATTTATCTCTAAGGTATTGGATGATACTGTTAGTATCAGTTTGAAAATTAGTTAAATAAAAAACATTATTTATGCTAGAAAAAGAATCATTTGTGGATACTTACCAACATGAAAAATTTTCAAAACTGGTATAGGTTTAGGAAGGGCTTATATTACACTAAATGTTGGAAAAACAATTTGGTTAATGTATGAAGGACACTTATTTTCGCAAAGCAAAAGAACAGAATAGTACACATCAACTCTAGTGCTATTCCAGGTCTAAGAATTTGGCTGTCATGTTTATCCCATCACTAAGGCTTTTCTTCTCTGGAGGATCCACTCCTAAGGCAAATTTTATCAGTTCGTAGCAAGTGCAGTTTGGAGATACATTATCAAGTCCTTTACTAAGATGACTTGATAAAACTTTATCAATTAAAAATTTTTTTTTTGAAGATAATACTAATAATGAACAACTATATTCCAGAGACATATTATGGGGGGTGGAGTGGGGAATGGGATAAAAAATGGGGTGGAGGGGGAAGTGCACTGGGTTATGGTGATGGCACACGGATGATTTGGTGGTGGGAAGCCCACAGGGATTACAACTGAGTTGGGAAAAGGCACAAAGTGATGTAAAAATAAACTATTATATTAAATTCGAAATTTTTAAAATTCTTTTTTGAATCCCAGAGCCAGAAACAATCCATTAACAGTTTTTTTTGCACTTTAGAATTTCAAAACCAGGTCCCTTCCCCTGACCTTCCTTTCAGAGCTTCTCCCTGGGATTAATCACCCCCAAACGGAAAATTAATATCATGGAAACTGCTGATTCCAAATTGACTTAATGTCATTCCAAATTTCGTATTTATATGTTTTCTCTTCTTGAACCAAATAAAAAACCATGCAAACTTGTCCAGGATCATAATGTTTTGCCTAGTTAAATATGCCAAAGTATTTTTAGTTTGAAAGACAGATTTAGGGTGGTGGCAAATAACATCTAAGCCATAATTACAATGCTGGGACAAATTTTATTTAACTTACCCTGTCATGCTACCAATATCCTATCATGCTATCTGCAAATTCAAGAGTCTGGTAAAATTACAAGCTTGTAGGTTTCAAATATTGTCCATTGGACATAGCTAGAATAATAATGTCACTCTCTGTATATCTGCTGTTGTTATCCTTTCCAAAGTGTTGTTAAAAACAGTAATATTTAATTACTTCCTCACAATATACCCATGAAGAATAGTTTGTTATTATCAGCACTCCCTCCCTTTTTAGACTAGAAACATAGATTGGTTAAATTACATAAAAAGATTAAATAAAGATAAAGTTGGACCTCCAAACCTGACTTCCTGTCTCCTAGCAAGTTCTTCTTGTGAGCTGTAACTGGTTCTGGAATTTATTTTAGAATTCAAAACTTGTATCTGGAAATCATTAATTGGCGACTAGAATGCATACATTGGGTGACTTATGAATTAGTCTGAGTGCTAATTAGTGTTATGCCATTTGAATGCTTTCTTTTGTAGAATAAATATGGCGGAGCTTTCTGAGACAGAAGGACCAGTAGACTGGAAAGAACGATGTGTAGCTCTGGAGACACAGCTCATGAAATTTAGAGTTCAAGCAAGCAAGATTAGAGAGCTCTTAGCAGAGAAGGTAAGCTTTTCTCCCTAACCTTTCTTATTAAACATCAATTACTTGAAATTTATTTTATTTATATTAAGTAATCCCAGCACTTTTAGGAGATAAATTATTTTAAAACAATGAGCATAATTTAGCACTTGTCAGGGTGTTTAGATTTGGCATATTCTTTTACCAGTTGTAGAGTGAATTAGACATTAAGACAAAAAAAAACGTTTTTTTGCAAATACTAGTGGAACATGTAAGAATTGTGTCTATTTGACGAATGTGGAGTTTATTCATTCCAGAAAGAAAAGCTATAATTTACTTGATTTTACTAAAGGAGGGTGACAGGATTTTGATTCACTAACTGTTTAGAAAAATCATGTTTAAAGTGATTACAGAAGAATGTTCCTATTGATAATTAAATGTGTTTATACTGTGTTTGTAAGTATACATCTATTTGGAAATTTGTATTGACTATGTATTACTAAACTATCATCTGGCCTAGAATTGAGTTTAATGTAATTATATGTTTCTCTTAATAGGTCTAATCATATAATTAAATTATCATTTGGAAAGTCATAGGATTTTTTTGCATATATATATATATGTATATAAAATGTGTAAATGGATTCTTTAATTTGTTCATTCAACATATATTCTTTGAAGTCTGATTTTGTTTACATATATATAATTTTTTGTTAATTTTAAAAAATTTAAGTAACATTGGTTTATAAATACTATAGATTTCAGGTGTACATTATTATAAAGCAGCACCTGTATATATACATTATGATCTCCACTAAAAGCCTAATTCCATCTTTTATCACGCAATTGACCCTTCTGATTTACCCACCACCTCCTCCTCCTCTTCACTTCTGAAAACTGCTAATTTGGTCTTATAGGATTCAAGTTTATTTTTGTTTTATTTAGTTGATTTTTTGGTTTTGTTTCTCATATACCCATATGTGTGAAATCATATGGTATTTATCTTTTTCTAACTTATTTCACTTCTAGGTCCATCCATGTTTCTACAAATTGTAGGATTTCATGTTTTTATGTAGTTGAATAGTATCCAGTGTGTGCGTGTGTGTATGTATATACACACATACATAAACCATATCTTTTTTATTCAGGCATCTCTTGATGACACTTAGTCTGTTTCCAACCCTGGCTATTGTGAACAGGTTGTGATAACCATGGGGTGCACAGCTCTTTATAAAAGTGATTTTTTTATTTTATTTTTTTATTACAAAGTTTATTTTTACATCATTTTGCACATTTTTTTTTCCATCTC